TTAAGCCTCTGCCTTCCGCTTGGGTCATGAACCTAGGGTCCTGGGATGGAGCCCGGCATCATCCAGCTCTCCCTTTAGCGGGAAGCCTGCTTCCCCCCCACCCCTCTGCCTGCCTCTCCGCCTCCTTGTGATCTCTGTCTGTCAAATAAAAAAATAAAAATCTTTAAAAAAAATGATGTAATATGATTACTTTTGTAATATCAAAAGGAAAGGAAAGGACTTCACTGAAGAGTCTACAGACATTACAAAAAAAGAGAATATTATAAACAACTTTGTGATAATAAATTTGAAAAGTTATATGGAACAGAAAAATGTCATAAAAGAAACAAATTAACAAAACTGACACAAGAAGAATTAGCAAAGCCATTTCTAAAAACTTCCCCATGAAGATAACTTCAGGACTAGAAGAAATCACCGGTAAATTTTACCAAGGATTTATGGAGGGAAATGATACAAAATACACCTACTTTTTCAGAAAAATAGAGGTAGAGGGGACAACTAATGGGGGGGCCAGAATTTCTCTGATAACAAAACTAGTTGAAGATACTGTAAGAAATCTACAGGTCAATATCCTTGATGGAGATAGGTCCCCAAATCCTTACCAAATTATTTGTAAGTCAGATACAGCAAGATATAAAAAGAGTAATGCATCACAAGCAAATATGGCTTATCCTAGTAACATAAAGTTGCTTTGACATTTGAAAATAGAATAATGTAATTCAGGACATTAACATCACAAAAGGGAAGGATTAGATAATTTCTACAATAAATGAAGAGAGAAAGGAATTCTATAAAATTTAATTCTCATTCATTATTGAAAATGTTGCCAAACTAGAAATAAAAGGACATTTTCTAACCTCATAAAGGTTATCTACAGAAAACCTATACACCATCACATGTAGAAGTGAAAGACTGAAAACCTCCCCTTACCTACAAGAGAAGTATGTCCACTCACTACTATGGTAGACAAGTTCTTATCAAGTACCAACAGGCAAGAAAAACAAATAAGAGGCTTATATATTGAAAAGGAAGAAACAAAACTCACACTGTGTACAATCAACAAGGTTAGATTATCCTAATCCTAAGGGAACTACAGAAGTCTTGTTAGCACTAATAAATGAACTCTCCAAGTCTGCAGGACCAAAGATCTAGATATAAAAAAAATCAACTGTATTCGAATAATCAAGCAGAGAGCAATTAGAAAATTAAATATTGAAAACAATACTATTTACAGGAGCACCTGTAAATAGTAATAGTTAAGGATAAATTTAACAAAATGGAGCAAGATCTTAACATTAAAAAATACAAACGTTGCTGAAATGTAGAAAATCCTAATGAAATAGAGAGATGCGCCATGTTCACAGATTGGAAATTTTCATATTTCTAAGATGTCAGTTTTCTCCTAGTTGATTTCTGGAGTCCATGAAATTTCAATCAAAATCTTCACAGACTTTTTGGTACAAATTGACGAGCATATGCTAATTTTTTTTTTTTTTTTAAACTGGAGAAGTAAATAACCTAGAACAGGCAAAAACAATCTTGAGAAGGAACAAAGTTAAGGGATTTACTCAACTTGATTTCAAGATTTTACAGCTGTGGTGATTTTCTCTAGAGAGCCACTCACAAATCTTCCTCCTCTTTAAGTGTTTGCCCCTCTTTCCATCAAGGGGCAGAGTTTATTTCCCTTATCCATAAATGTAGGCTGGCCTGTCTTGTGACTTGCTTTGACCAACAGATTGCACGGGAAATCATACTGTCCCCTGGACCTAAGACTTGTGAGGCTTACAAACTGCCATCTTCATTTTCTTGGAACCCTGAGGTATCATGTCACTAAGTCTGACTAATCTGCTAGAGATAAAGGCCATGTGCAGAGCAGCTATATTAGATGTTAGATTCATAGAGTGGTGGCGAGGGGGAGGGAAGGTTGGCAGACAGGGCGAGGGCATGTGGGAGGAAGGGAAGGGAAGGAGAGCAAGCCAAACAAGGTCCAAGCAGCCTCCAGCCATGTCTGCCATCTCGGACAAGGCTCAGGACATCTGAATAAAACCGTCCTGGATTCTTTAGACCTAACTGATCTCATGAATCAACTTTACGTGCAGGAGAAAGGAGCCCATCCTGGCCAACTCCTGCCCAAACTGCAAAACCATAAGCAATAACCGGTTGTTATTACTTAAGTCACAAATTTCTGGCATGGTTTATTACACAGGTGTAGAAACCTGAAACACTGAATGACTGAGCAAATGAAAGACACTCTCCTTTTCTTCACAGGATACTAGCAGCATTACCATATTGTGCTAACATTTAAATACTCTCCAACTCTTCTCTATAGGTTTTCTAGTTGACAGGTATCTTCTGTAATTACTCTTTAGAAATTAAAAGATAAGGAGATTTTTATGTAGCATGAAGCGATCAGGTAATTAAAAGATCTGTCAGATTAAATTTCTGATTAAAGAAGTTATGGATGCTTACTGGAATCACAATATTAAAAAAAATCACTAGTTTTCCACAAAATCAATGTTTATCTTTTGTTACATTTTCTTCAGTCTATTTATGCACTAATGTACTTCATATAAAAGAAAATAAATACTTTTTTATAAGATAATATTTTCTATAAAGATTGCACACTATTTCATTGTCAGCTCAGTTATTAAGAACATGATTTGAAGATAATTGCTTACAGGACATATCTTTTTGTATAGGATCTTAAAACTTATAAAATATCCCTTCCTTCTCTCATATTAGTGAGATTCTTGTTATAAGAACCAAACTGTAAATGCCTATAGCAAAATAATTTTTAATAAATATACTTTTCTATAATGTCATCTGCATATAGAATAGGCTATATATAAGAAAAAAAAGCCTTTGGAACGTATCGATGTCACATGAAGTTCATTGTAGAAGGTGTTGTTTATCCCATTATATGATATTTTATTATGAGGATCCCACTGACAAATTTCTTTTAATTTTGGAAATTGAAAGAATTTTAAAAAATAAAAAATTACATATCTTTTAGATAAACCATTGTGTATATCCTGTGAATAGGCCTGAATTTACAACTACTGTTTAGGCTTTCTTTTTCAAAGTACGGAATAAGATATGGGGCTCCCCTGCCAAAGGATAGCTGTATTTTTTTTTTTTAAAGATTGTATTTATTTATTTGACAGACAGAGATCACAAGTAGGCAGAGAGGCAGGCAGAGAGAGAGGAAGGGAAGCAGGCACCCTGCTAAGCAGAGAGCTGGACGGACTCAGGGCTCGATCCCAGGACCCTGGGATCATGACCTGAGCCAAAGGCAGAGGCTTTAACCCACTGAGCCACCCATGCGCCCCAAGATAGCTGTATTTTTGAAATTTGCTCTCAACCTTGGTTTTGAATTCATTTCTTTGCCTCCACATTTAATTTTTATCTTTCAGAGATAAATTATGAATGCCTATAAACTGTCCGTAATACCTTTTGTAAACAGGTAGGATTTTAATCAATTTAATTGATCATATCTTACTTTTCCATTTAGTATTTTTCCAAAATTTTAATAACTGCATAACATTTTATTATATTAATGCACTATTATTTAATTAACCATACTCCACTGCTAGAGATAATAGACTAGTGTTCATTTTTTACTTCATAAAGATTGTAATAAGCAACTTTGCACTTCAGTTGTTTTCCACAGATCTGATTTTTTTCTAGAATGAGAATTTCCTGCTAAAATAGTCTTGAAATATGTTACTAATTTTTTTAGAAAGATTATGATCATTTGCACTCTCACCACCAGGGTGCCTACCTTAACATACCTTGCCAGCATTGAATATTGCCATTGCTCAAGACTTTGTTGATGTGACTACTGGGAGGGCATTAAATGATTTAATGTGCATTTCTTGGATTATCAGCAAAAGCCCATATTCCCAAAAATGCTTCCTTTGTCTTGTAGCATGTATTCAAGTGTCTTCCTGTCTGTCTGTTCCATAGATCTGTGTCTATCCAGGTACTATTCTATGTTTTCAAAGAGAAAAATACTTAGTATGCAATTTTCAATTTTCAAGAACAAGACAATTCTTATCCACAACACCAATACTGAGAATCTCTCTCAAGGAAAAAAAAATCCAAAAATAGAAAATATTTATGTAAATGGTTATCTTCTACAACATTATTTATAGTAGTGATAAATGTGATGACATAAATGTCCCTACTGTTGAAATAGTTATGAAACTATATACTTACAGAGTGAAATATTAGATATGAAAATCATGCTTATGGAGGTTGCCAACCATTAAATAATCAGTTAAAATATATTGTAATATTGGGGTATTTCAAATATTAATATGAAAAATACCTGCTACATTATGTTAAATTGATAATATTAGGATAAAAAATATTATTTTCTCCTAATTAAAAAAGTGAAGAGAAGGAGGTAACTTACAAAATATTGCTATAAGTATTTAACTCTTAATTAGTGGAATTACGGATGTTTATATGCTCTTTCCTGGAACTTCCATTATTCCCTGAATTTCATCGTGCTATACTGCTTGTTCCCTTGTAAATCTCCTCTAGATGAAGGCAAAACTATATATTTAAAAATACAGTGCTTTTATAATTATTATTATTAAAAAGTTATTCTAATTCCATTGCCTATATTCCAATCTCTGCTTATTAATACTTTTACTATCTCTTAGCTGAAAGAATTCGGAAAAAAAACACTGAACAGAAGACTCCTAATTTAAAAGTTCACTTTTCTGACGCACGGTATTAAATTAGGACCAAAGCAAATGAATAAACGATCATGTTTTAAGAGGAACAAAAAGTATCGAGGAGAAGGACATCTCAAGTGTTAAATTTTTGACTCTAAATTAGTAAAAACAGGGCACCCTTGTGTGTGGCTATATAATCTGTATTCTAAAACCATCATTACCTCAATTAAGGTTCTATGGTCTCAGCTCACTACCTTCCTTCTGCTCAATTTGGATTTCTCAGGGCACAAGGATTAGTGAGATCTTGAACTCTACCTGTCAAATGACGGCTTCTCTCCACAGTCAAAGGCATCCTGGAGCTCCTTAACAAGGTTAGCCTGGCCTGGCAGCCGGAAGAGACCCTCTTCTTTCAGCCCCCTTTGTCGGATAAAGTCCACACACTGCTCCACCAACATTGGGGCCAGACGATTCCCGTATCTCTTCTCATAACGGACAGTGTCCTCCAGCTTCTGTCCAAAAATGCCTGGAGAAACAAAGGGGTCACAGTGAATTTGAGGAATTTCTATCACCCCACCTGGTTATTTAAAACAAAACACAACACAACACAACAAAAAAACCAACTCAATATAAAGGGAAAACAAAGATAGAAAGGCTGGCAAGCATTTTACAATGGGGACTTCGCATTTTTACAGAATCAAATCCACACTACACAATTCTTTGAAGGAAAAGGCTTTGCCTTATGCTGCCCTTCCCCCCTAATACTCCGTATTTAGCCCCACACCGAATAGACACATGAAGTTGGAGATAGCGACCTTGATATAAGAGACACTGTAATGAATGAAAGTTTGGTTTTGGGTTTTCTTTTTCTCCCGCTTGGGAAAGGAATAGTATGGAAGAAATATTCTGCAGAGAATAGTCAAATTCTACTTTTTGCTATACTTGAACTTTCTGTCCAATTATCATTTAGTGTAACTGTTGCTCATTTCTCTGTTCACCTTTTGTTTTCAAACAAGGAATGATGCCATGATTGTAATCGAAGTGATAAAACCAGGTAAAAATGCCCAGAATCTTCATCTGCATGAAATATTTCAGGCTGCAATATTTCATCTTTTATGAAATATTTATTTTATATTATTTATTTAAATAAATTATTTAAATATTTATTTTCTATTATTATATTACTTTTGTTGAAAGGGAAAAATCTGACTCATGAAGTAGTTAGTGCCTATACCAAAAGCGAGGAGGCAGAATCTCGGCAATTTGCCCCTGACAGATGGGAAAGCCTCCTTTATCACACATTATCTAGAACTGCCAGCCCACAGTAGTGTTTTAGCCAGTTTTAATCAGTCTTATGAATGATTTTTAAATAACCACAAAGAATGAATTCCTTGTTGCATGCATTTGGGGCTGAACATACCCACTATTCGTGCCTGGGACCCCGCTGATTAAAAAACAATTCCTCTAGTGGTGGGTGTGATAGCTTCAAGGTTCAACTGTGGAGTGGGAGCCCTGGTCAGGAGGGCCATAAGGGCCTGCAGTCCCAATGGAGTGGCTGCTGTGCTGGTGGAGGTAGTGTTCCTACTGATGATGAACAGATAACTGGGCTGGAAATGGAGGCCATGAAGTCTGTTTGGAAGGGACTGGGTCCTTCCAAAATGCTAGCCCCAAAAGCAGCTTTAGACACCAAGGAAGACCCTAGTTTTGTCCCAGCTATCCCCAACAAGCAAATAGTGGGCTCTATCTATGAAGAACACAAATAGTGCTCTCATCTCATCTGGTTCTGGCTGCACAAAGGTTGAGACCCAGCGATACCCTAACTGTGGAGTTCGTCAAAAGCTGGTGCCCCACCAAGTGGGCCCACTAAGCCTTTACACTAACTTACTCAAATTGTGCTGTAAACTTTCTTCTTTTTAATAAAGAGTAGCCATTGTATTGGCTTCTTCTCTCAGAAAGAAAGAAAAAGAGAGAGAGAGGAAGGAAGAAAGGAAGGCAGGCTCTAAATATATTAATACCAGGTGGTAGCTTGGCAAAAACGATATGCCTATGAGAAAAAAAATGGGGAAAGCCCAAGCAAATGTCACTCCAGTGTTCCCAGATGGGATGAATCACTGAATAGTTTTAATGGTCTAATGGTTTCATACAAGGGAAAGAAAAATTAGTGTTGCATATTGAAATTATGTGAGACTCCAGAATATTTCGGGAATTATTTAAAAAATACTAGGTTAAGAATTGAACAATAAAAACAAATGTTTTACCTCCCTATCTGTAAAATAATTTACTTATGGATTCAGCAATGTAAATTCACACTCCAAGCAAAGAACAACTGCGACCGAAGAGAAAATTTTTCAGCCTGGTAGAAACAATAAGACAACAACAAACCAAACTATTCAACACCTGATATCAAATCTAGTATTAAGGGAATTCATGTATTCACATTAGGAAAAAATGTTGAGCGAACTAATATATAGATAGCAATATATATAGAAATATTAGAAAGCAAAATATATAGAAATAAATAGAAAGCAAAATATATAGAATATATATATAGAAAGCAATATATAGAAATATATAGAAAGCAAATATATAGAAAGGAAATATATATATATAGAACTATAGAAAGCAAAATTAGAAAATGGCATCTTCTAAGGGCAGGAAAATTAATGTAGGCCGCAGGTCCGTTTAGCTAAATTTGTAGACTTTGGAACAAGTAGTTTCTCAATGGTGTGTCAAAAATGGTTTGCTAACTCAATAGACATTCATACCCCCATTTTCTCTTGTCATTTCCATTTTAGGGACTGGAAAATTAAATACCTCTCCCACTTTTTAAGAAGTCTTTGGAGTCTTTAGGAAGATTTTTGGTTTTGTTTTTGATGAAAGAGAGAGACAGCTGGAATTGCCAATCACTCCATTTTTCTACCATGAACTTGGTCATGCTGTTGATCTAAGAGTCGTCTTTTGGCTATTAGATAAGCAATCATGAGGGAAAGACTGAAAGATTCAGAGAAAATGGGGATGAAATTATTGAACCACTGACCTAATACCAGCAGCACATTCTTTTTGATTTTTTTTTAATGTGAGAAAAATGCATGTTTACCCATTGTTAGCTGTGTTTTCTGTTGGTTGCAACAATACCAAATTCTAACCATGCAGTGGTAATGATGACTTTGAAGATATTTTAGTATTTTAATAACAAAGCTTGAAAACTGATTATGAATGGAGAATACTGACTCTTTTTCTGTGGAGTTCTTTGATGCTTATTTGCCTGAGAAATTCAGATTCTATTATGCCAAAGTTAAGAAAATAGCCTTTCAAAGGCACTAACCATTTATTTTTATAAATAACAATATTGATATCTGGGAATACATCTTATGTATCTGTGGTTTTTTGCTTATTGTTTTAGATTGATAAATATATTATCTAAAGTTTCTCTCCAAATCCAGCAGAAAACTGACTAAAGATGTTGCAACTCAACATCTATGAACTATGTGTGCTACAAATGAGAATCAAACTTTCAAGATTTTGTTCTACACAGTAATAAAAAACAGTCAAACATTCTTTTAAAATTCCCAGAATTTCTTTTTTCCCAACAACTTAGGGACATGATAAAGTAAGGAGTAAGCTTTGCTTTATGGCTAGTCTGGTTTGTTTCCTTCCTTCCTTTCTTCCTCCCTCCCTCCCTTCTTTTTTCCCTTCCTTCCTGTATATACAGCTTTGTGTTGTGGTAAGAATTTACTTAAGTACCGCAGGAGGGACACCTGGATGGCAGGTGTCAGTTAAGAATCTGCTTTTGGTTCGGGTCGTGGTCCCAGGGTTCTGGGATTGAGTCCCACATCAGGTTCTTTGCTTAGCAGAGAGTCTGTTTCTCTCTCTGCCAGCCACTCCCCCTGTTTGTGCTCTCTCTCTGACAAATAAATAAACAAAATCTTTAAAAAAAAAAAAAAGTATAGTAAGAAACCAAAAAACCAAAAGCCCTAACATCTTTCCATTTAATTTTTACTAAGTCTCTATTATGTACTAAGTCCTTGACATATATTCTCTTATTTTCATAATAAATATATAAGATAACTGTCTTATACATGAGGAAATTGGGACTCAGAAAGGTTAAATGAATAGCTCAAGGTTAGTTACACAACACCATGTGTCAGAATGGAAGTCCACATTCAGATTTATTCAGCCGTAAAACCTTTTCCCATTCCCAAATACCAGTCCTCTTCCTTCTTATTTAATCATAATGATTATATGTCCTCATTTTCTAGTAATTTAACATATTAGTAAACTCTAAAAACAAATAGAATAGAGTTCCTTTTCTGTGCTCTAAAAAGTGATAATAGCAAAGATGTACTTATCTATCTCAGGTGTGGGTACAAGTGGTTTATCGGCATTTTTTTCACTTAAAACTCACACTACTTTATGAGGTGGGCACTACTATTGTACCACGGAGAAGACAAGCACAGAGAGGTTAAGTGACTTGATAAATGTCACACAGCTAGCTGGAAGTGATGGACCTGGGATTTGTTCAAGGCTCTTGGATTTCAGAGCCACACTGTATTTAATACACTGTGAGGGGCGTACACTAGCTGCAAACTATGTTACTGAGGGAGAAACCTGCTGCTTACTAGCTTTCTGACCTATATCTCTGTTATCAAACTAGCAGGAGTAATTTCTGCTGAGAAAATGCAGATTTGGAGGAAGATCAGGAAAAAAAAAAAAAACAGAGATGGAGAAAACTCTGATTATCTTCTACGTGCTGCCCAAGGAAATGATTCTTTATGTAAACAGCTATGTCTGTTTAGCAATATAATATCTAAGGGAGTGAAAGCATGTAGATGTTCGCTACACACGCTTAGAGATTCCTGTGGAAAATTGATAGTTTTCTGCTCCAAGTCTGGTCTTGCAAAGAATTAGTAAGTGATTGTAATAGACGTATACTTCCTATTTTGTAGCATTGGAAATAGAATGTCCCAAACATCTCTGTCTTCTGTCTTACAACGGTAGATGTGACTTATTGTCCTATATGTTTTTTTTTTTGTTTTTTTTTTTGCATGGAAGTTCAGGGAGAAATTTTTTAAAGCTGTTTTGTTTAGCATTTTCATTGAGGAAGCTGTGAAACTTCAAATTTTAAGATTAACAAGAAAGCATGAAGGTCATGAGCCTATCCCCAACTAGCAGCATGGGGAAAAGGACACTGACTAGTAGATAATTAACAAGAATATACTCTGTGATGTGAGTCATGCAAATGGTTCTAGCTATGTCCACTTAAATTCCCAGGGAGGTTTCACACTACCTGACAAAGCCATCCCTGGAATTTCTAGGTGACCAAAGTACATCATGTGTACTTCCCTTGGAAATACATTGATGGTGTCATAAAGCATCACCAAGGAGGTGACTTTTCACAGGGCTGAGAAGGTAAATTACACAGGTGATTTTATTATACCTGTGGGAAGCTGTTCCAACTGGAGAGAGAGAGAAAGAGATCTAAATTTCCTTCAGGATTTGTGAAGTTCCTGCTTTATGTGTGATTTA